AATTCTGTTCAAATGATTATGGTTTACTGGTGTTCGTTCAAGATTGAACAACGTGCGTTGTTCATGTTGGCGTTAGTGAACATGGCTGCCGGTGAGAGTTCTCTTTTTTTAGACATTGCAATAATTCATCTAAGAGAACCCATTTGTTTTTTATAACTTAGAAATTGAAGAAATGATTTTAAAGAGAAATGTGCTTGATGATTTTTTTTAATATTCAATATAGTTGTGTATTCTAATGAATGTTATTTTATTGGAATGAGAAAATCGATCAGTTTCCCTAAGAAACAACTATCTAAATAGTATTTTATATAATAATTTATATTTTCAAAAGTCTATCCATGAGGATCTTAGTTTCCAAGAATATTTTTTTTTTTATTATTAAATTGAGTATAGGTTAACTGTAATCATCATTTCATATTGTTACGATTGTTGTCAATCCAAAGATAGGATTTAACTGAGAAACTAACTCTGTATTTTATAACCCTTTTTTAAAAGCCTATTGTTGAAAACAAAAATATGGCACCTATGTTTTACTGTATGTTATGTAGGACTTTTGAATATTTCTCCTTCGGCTAAATGGACAGGCAATGCAACCACAGTTGCAGGATCGCCAACCGGTGGATCTGGATCAACGCCATCGTTACTAAATTCTAATTATGGGATACGTATTACGGACGATAATACTTTATACATTACGGATAGAAACAATCATCGAATTGTTGTTATCTTTCCGAACTCGACCATAGCTGGAGCAATAATTGGCAGTGGTTATGGTACTGGCCTAACTCAAATGAATTATCCATCCGATATTTTCGTCACAAGCGATGGAATATATGTGCTCGATACTCTCAATTATCGCGTTCTGAAATGGTGGAAAAATGGAACTAATACGACTATTGTGGCAGGAACCACTGGTATTGTGGGCAGTACATCAAGTAATGCAACGTTTTCTACAAGCTACGGATTATTTGTCGATGACTTCAGTTATGTTTATGTCAGTGATGGAGCGAATTATCGAGTGATGCGATTTCCACCAAATTCAACGAGTGGTACAACAGGCAGTACATTAGCTGGAACAGGATTCGCCGGGTACGGACGTCAAGGGTTTGATAGCCCGCGTGGCATCTTTGTCGATAGCAGTCGAGCATTGTATGTAGTGGATACCAATAATCACCGAATTCAAAAATGGAATTTCGAAGTTTGCTATGGTGTGACTGTGGCGGGAACTGGATATAGCGGCAATAGTCTCGGCCAACTTCAAAATCCGAGTTCCGTTGTTGTCGACAGCAATGGATACATGTATATAACTGATCAGAATAATCATCGAATTCTTCGTTGGGCACCAGATGCATGTCTTGGGGAATGCATTGCAGGTTGTTCAATGACTGCTGGAACGAGAGCTGATCAATTGTATTATCCATTCAGTGTAGCATTCGATAGTCAAGGTTCACTTTACGTTAGTGATACATCTAATAATCGAGTGCAGAAATTTTCAATACTTAACAATACTGGTGAGTGTAAAATACTTAAGAGTTAAACTTCACGTGACGTTAAAATCACTTTATAGGAGCAACGACAGCGACAACTGGACCGACTTCAACTACTTCAGCGAGTTCGACGATTTCACCAATATACACATCGCCAGGTATTTTGTTTGTCTGACGATCTGAATTATAGAAGCAGTGATTCTACTAGATAAGCTTTACGTGTTATTGGTGTTTTTGCTTAGAGGAGCAATGAAGAAATCGTAAGATAAGATCGAATGTTAATTTTTCACATTCCGTATAGCAAATCATTGTGAACAAGAATCCGCTGTGTGTGAATTCTTGTCGAGAGTATATGAAAAAAGATAAAAACAACCATTATGATGAATAACGCTGGTAGAATGACATCTGTTACCTAAGTGTTCAAAAACGATTTGTTGTAAATAAAAAAGAAATAAGAGAATAACATGCATGAGAACACTCATAAACATCGGACTTTGAGAAATGTCTATCTTTTCAGCAATAAAAATAAATCAACGTTGACTATAGTTCATTTTTAACCAAAAACTCAAGTTTTGAATACCAGAGAAAAAGTGTAGTTGATCATAGAAATCTAACAAAAACACGCGATAGTTTTCTGTAGGACAATATCAAAAATAAAGTTATTCTTTTCAGAACTTTTACAGACTGTTCTAAAAGATATTATCACGACATGATTCGTATTCAGACTTTTTAATTTTTTTAGCAAAGAACGCTATTCTCTATTGTATGGTAAGAAATTTGGAATAGAAACCTATTGTAGCTAATAGCATACAAAAATAGTTATATTTTAAACAGTTGCAAAAACCAAACTGAAAAAGAAGACATTTTCCATTTGAGAACTATAGTGCCATCATGAAATAACAGCACGTATGTTAATTATATTGTCGAATAAAAATTCTTTTTGTTAACAGTATTTAATGCTGAATATTTTGACCAACGGTAGGTTCTAAGAAGTGAAGAAAGAAGAATAGATATTTGATACATGTGGATACTATTTTTGTTTGTTATTCATTTCACAAGCTTATTATACTGGATTCGAATCAGTTCTTTGTCTGATTAACATCAACCTGGTACTATACGGTATTAGTCGAAAACTACATGCTTCAGTAATTCTCGCTGACATTCAATAAAATTTTTGTGCTTCTAGTTTTGAATGAAAATTTTTTTGTAATAGTATATTCTTACCTATCTGATCTATCACAACATATAGACTTTTTATTCATTCGAGATTGTGACAGATCAGTCTAATCTATTCTCAACTGGTCTAACCTAAAAGTTTGGAGGAACTGACTGTGTTCATATCATATTGTTCTAAAAATTAGAGATTCATAATAATCCATGTTAAACTTACAATTGAATCTCAATTCATTTAAATGATTCAATGACAGCATTCGCGGAGCCCACTTTTTAACGGAGTCTACTATAAAAATTATTACATTTCATTGTAGACATACAGATTGAATGATACGCTAAATGATAAAAAATCAGTCTTCAAAAAATACTGGCAGAACTAAGAGAAAGCCGTTGAATGGAAACCGCATTTAGTTTAGAAACACTACTCAATAGAAAAAAACAATGTTGGAGGATATTTCTTCAGATATAGTTATATTCAGTTTTATTTAAAATCATTTTCATTCTTAGAAGCCGTACTCGTGCCTACTGCTCAATGGGCACTCAATGCAACCACAGTTGCAGGATCGCCAACCGGTGGATCTGGATCAACGCCATCGTTACTAAATTCTAATTATGGGATACGTATTACGGACGATAATACTTTATACATTGCGGATAGAAACAATCATCGAATTGTTGTTATCTTTCCGAACTCGACCATAGCTGGCGCAATAATTGGCAGTGGTTATGGTACTGGTCTAACTCAAATGAATTATCCATCCGATATTTTCGTCACAAGCGATGGAATATATGTACTCGATTCTTCAAACTATCGTATTCTAAAGTTGCAGAAAAATGGGACTAACCCAACTATTGTGGCAGGGATCACTGGTGTGGCAGGTAGTACATCGAGTTACAATACATTTGGTACAAGCTATCAGATGTTCGTTGACATTTACGGTAATATCTATGTAAGTGATCAAGGGAACCATCGAGTGCTACGTTTTCCACCGAATTCATCGAATGGTACGAATGCGGATATAGCAGCGGGGATAGGAACATCTGGGTATGGTCCTAGTCAACTCAATACTCCATATGGCATATTTGTTGATAGTGCCCGTACATTATACATCGCTGATACGAATAATCATCGTATTCAACGCTGGAAATTCAATGCTTGTTCGGGTATCACTGTTGCCGGTCGAGCAGGCCAAGCAGGTACCGCATTGTATTTGCTGCAATATCCTACATCGGTGGTTGTTGATATCAATGGATACATGTATATCTGTGATAAAAATAATAATCGAATTCTTCGTTGGACACCAGATGCGTGTCTTGGGGAATGTATTAGTGGTTGTACGATGACTACGGGAACGAGAGCTGATCAGTTATATTTTCCATTCAGTATAACATTCGATAGTCAAGGTTCACTTTATGTTAGTGATACATCAAATAATCGAGTTCAGAAATTTCGCGTATTCAACAATATCTGTGAGTATTATGTAGCATAGCGATAAACATTAAACTATGGGTATGATATTTTAGTAGCAACAACAGAGGCAACTACAATAAGTACTGCTGCATCGATGAGTTCAATCGCCACATTGGTTCTCATCTCAAAAGGTAGGAGTATATGTGATTGAAAATGATTACGATCTTTAATTCATTTCGAATAATGACTGCTTTCATACGTAATAGGTACTTCAAACTCAATGGCATCAACATCGTCACAAAGCACTTTGTTGACCTCTACGGCAAGCGAAACTACGACGATAACTCTAGCTGCAATTGCCTCAACAGAAATGTCATCCACGAATAATATGATGCGATCGCTGAATACAAGTATTTCTACAAATTTCTGATAATTTCGCTTTGATACGTCAATGCTATTTTAGCTCAAGATACCTTTAGTACAATATCAATGTTCTATCAGATGACAAATATTCCAGGTAAGTGATGATACATGTTATTTATAAAATTATTTTATTTACAATCGTCATCATAACAAACTACAGTATCGTCTGCAGCTATCTCAAAGGAAACTACAACGCTACCATCTATAATTACATCGACTTCACTAACTAGCATGAGTTCGATGGCCACGTCACTATTGCCCTCCATAAATAGTAAAATGAATTTTGCTTCGCTTGTTTTTCATATTGTTCTACCGATTATGTTTAGCTACAGTAGTATCTACATCCGAAATGAAAACTAGCATCGCCGTTACCAATATTCCAAAGCCAGAATCAACAATGGAAATATCCACCATGATACAAACCACGGTTGGGTTATCGACAATGGCAACATCCACTATGGCACCATCAACAATGGCAACATCCAC